TATGAGAACAAGGACATTCTGTATTGCTAAGAAAGCTATCTAGTTCTTCTTTAGACGGATTATCTCGTTTCTCGATGATCTCTTTTATATCTGAATATATAAAAAGACCAAGATAAATCAGAAGACATGTGAGAAGAACTAGATAGATCCGAGTAACAATGATATTGAATCGACGTTGTTGTTCATCTTCATTTTGGTTACTACCAACTGGTGGTTTAAAAAGATTGAGATTGAGAAAAAAACTTTTCCAAGAAGATATCGTCTGCCGACAAAAATCGGCTATGGGCATGATGAATTATATGCCTATACGATGAAAGTAAAACGTAAGGCAGAAAAAAAAATCTGGCGTGTTGTTAGAATATTATTTCTGTAGACAGATTTAGTAAAATAAAATAGTCTATTTAACAACATTTTTCCTACGTCATAAAAATGCTTTTCCTACGCAAAATAATAATTTATATTGTATCGCACTTTTATCAAAAGTAACTAAAAATGTTGATTAAAATAATTTGCTTCCGTATCCTGCATGAAAATCATGCACGGTTTTTAATATGTTCTGTATTTATGCTAGATAATCACTCGCATCTGCTTTTATATATTAAAAAATAAATAAATCGCATAAAGAGAAGTAAATTTTTATTTGTCCATGATTTAGAGCGTTGCATCTGTTAGATTGATGAGATTAGAGGTGTAAGCCGTCGGTTGATTTTTGCTGAAGCCGACGGCTGGCATTTTTGCTAGAGTTGACGCGCGTCTAAGCCGACGACTTACACCTCGACATGGGATCGCTCGAGCAAAGAAAATCATTGGCTAATTAATCCTTCGTTTGTATGTAATTTGAAATAGAATAGGTAATGATTTATAGTACAGGTGTGAGTATGAATGTTAGATGATCATAACATCTACGACTACATTTTGAACCATCAGAATCCGTAAAAGAAGGTTTCATACAGACGATATGTAGATACATACTGCTTAAGCTGAATGTTCATTTAACATCAGTGATAACAATCCTATTTCTATACTACTCTTTTTTTTTCTCTAGAAGGAGAAATTAAAAGAAATTCTAGAACAATGTCGAATACAAATGAAGACGCAAATGAAAAGCATGAAGTATGTTATTGATCTTATTACAGATAAAGGGATAAAAGAATCCTATATTTCTTACGACTCAATTTTAGAATAATCAAATGGCCACGAACACAAGTGAAGAACACCCTTCTTCAATGATAACAGTGTATGTAAATTATTTTTGTACTACAAAAGTTAATAATATTCTCAATTTTAGGAGCTCTCCAAGGAGAAAAAAAGTGTGCTACACGATTCTTATTGTGATCGCTGGGATTATAGTTGGTGGTGCTCTAACAATGCTTGTTCTAAGATTCTGCCACAGAGTTAAAACGAATACAGAAATAATAACAGGTATAGTTGTTTTTGAGAGTGGGTATCGAACTGAGCCACGGTATGGGTGTTCACTTGTTAGTCATCTATTCCCACGTCCTGCCTAAAATCGGCAGAAAAACGTTTCTAAATAATGGGTGAAAGCGATCTACCATGCCATAAACCCCTTACAAAAGTTTTTTCCTAGATTGAAAGGATAGGGTCTAGAAACGGGAATTATCTATTTACATGTATTATTTTTGTCGGTAACATGGCAAATTTGACCATTTGTTTGGCAAAAATGACCATGTAACTATGACATATTTTGATAATATAATTTTATTTGCTATTATCGTTTTTTATTAGCATAATATTTAGTATATATTATTTTATTTAATTGTATTAAAAGAGCGCTAACTTAAATATTTAAAATATTTCGTAATTATATATATATAATATTTTATTTAACTATATCAAAAGGGCGCGAACTTAAAAATTTAATTTATTTATTAAAAAGGGGGCGAACCTAAATATTTGAAGTATTTCTTAATTATATATAGATCATTATTTTATTGAATAAATTAAAATAATGATCGGTATATAATTTTACTCTTAATATGAAGGGAGATGAAAATAATATTAATAACAAAAAAACTAAACGTTTGTATACACAGAGTATTATAAAGCTTTGAAAAAAATGTTCGCTTATTTTTATATAGCATGACATTTATCATCATCGATAAATATTTTTAATGCATGTTTGAAAAAAACGATGATGCACCAAAACGTCCTGCGTACGACAACTCAATAAAATACGATCCAGAATTAGAAGCTAAAAAGCATAAGCATTGTAATTTGATAATTTTAAAAGTTTAGTTGTTGCATTATTGCAAAAAACTTTTTAATAAGTTTGTCAGTTTAATAGACTTGCTATAGTCCATATAGATAAAAGAGTTCAAAATCAATTTTAACCTACAATGGTAAAGAGCTCTACATTGTAGTTTTTTTTTTAAATCCCACCTTTTATAAAACTGACTTTAATAAAGGTAAAGCATTTTTCAACTTTATTATTCATTCGTCGGATATGAAATTCTATGAAAATGCTTGATTTTATATAAAGTTGAAATTCAATTTGATTTCCCGCTGAAACTGAAAACTAATATTAATCAACTCTCATTCGTATCTAAAGATAGTTATATCAGCATGCAGACTGCGACAGTCTAGGGCCAAGTGAATCGAGTTTCGATGAACGTTACTTGTTTGAACATACAAACCCTGTTATAAGCGGAGCCTATAATCTTTTTCATTTGAAACTAAATTTTGGTGACAAATGGGAGACTGTTTTTTCTCAAAACTGTGGTTTTTCTGGGTCTTCATAAAATAAGTAGCTTCGTCTACGGATGCGACTTACCAATCCTCAATTGTTCCACATCTCATCCTTTCTATTCACATACTATCCCTCATTTTGATCGCAACTTAAATACCATTTTTATCACGAAATGTCTCAGCGCCCACATTATCATATCTATAGCAAATATTTATCATTTCTTTTCGATTGTGGATGTTTGAGTCTTTAAGTATATATCATATACTAGCGGGAGTATCCACTGTTGGTCGGGAAAATTTTATAGTACGTATTCGGTAGATGAGAAAACGAGTATGGATGATGCGACAGTTTTTCATCAACACACACAACCACTTATGCTGATACCACATTCACACCCTAATACGGAGACCTCTGGGTGAAATCTCACCCACGCGTCCTGACAATCATGCCAATCCCCTATTAATCATCCTTCTAGCCTAGAGAAGTATCGTCGAAATATTGGTGACTGCCGCTATTACGGGACTACTTGGGTGAAATTTCATCCACACCCATGATGACCATACTAACCCCTCGCCGATCTTCCCTGAGATCTAAGGAAGCTTCGTGGAAAGTTTGATGATCGTAGCTATTACAGAGACTGGATGCATATCGAACAGAGAGACAAACATTCTTGCTTATATATATATATAGATATATGACATCTATTTAAGAACCCGCAAGACTCTCGTGATCCGTAGCCCAAAAAAATAGATACCATATACTATTATATATATGATATATATTTAAAGGCCTACATACCCACATATCCTCATATCCACATACTTGCAGACCCACAGACAGTAGCCCAAAAAACTAGATAGCATATACTATTTTATATATGATACAAGTAACGCTCGTCGTCTCGACTCACTTCACCCTTGACTGTGAGAGTGTGGGACTGGGTATGAATGAGAATTTCGATGTGAGTATAGATACCGGTAATAAACCAGAGCAAAACACACGCTAACACCCAGCCATCCACAGACACACTCATTCAAGAAATTCACTCGCTGCTACATTCACACCAACTCATCCACACAAATCCACTGTCCACCACTGACACCCCCTACGACTTCGATACCCAGCCACCGACACTCACACTCATTCTACATGTACACCCGCTGCGACTACTACAGTCGCCAACTCACATCCACACTCATACACACCTTCGAACTTCAATTAAAAAAATTTCTGATTCTTAAATTCAGAATTGTCAATCTGACAACTCTCGAGACGAGATCGGTCAGGCGTATGACCCACGATATTTGATCCAGTGTGGGTGGACTTGGATCTGATTATGAATATCAGTAATGAATAAGAACAAAAAACAATCCGACACCTATCCACTCACACACACTCAGGCTCACCCACCAACGACTACACCCTATCACCCAGTTCACCCACTTCTACCGTAGTCCACCCATTTCACCCACTTCTGACCCATTTCACCCACACTCACCCTATTTCGTTCATCCAGCTGATTGTCACCCACGTCCAACGATTTAAAAATGGATTTTTTTTTGACCTTGACACAAACAAATCCACAAACTATTTTTTTTCATATGACCCTCCCTACAGTCGAGATAATATATGCAAAGACTTGAGAATGCACAAAACTGAAAGATCCACAACCCAACAAAGGTATTACGAAAGGTGCACCCAACACAGTTGCTCTCCTATGAGATTTGCTCTTCAGTAGTATGAAACAAACTTTCTACAAGTTACAAGAACAATTTATAAATTAAAATTAATTTATTGAACACAATAATAATAGGAGACAACAAAACAAAGTAACAAGAAGAAAGGTGTGAGTGTGAGTGCTATGATCTTTTCTCCAACTATATCATCTTCAACGCCCACAACCTATTAATAGTGATTATCTTGTTGATCGACAATTGATATTAGAGAGCAAATGTCTCGGATGAAACTTTCATAGTTTCCCCAAAAAAAAGTAGACATTATATACTGGTATATGTATTTAAAGACCGGCATTCTGTTTGAGAATTGAAGATATTTTTTGTTATCAAAATTCACACTAAAATGAAAAGAACCATGGTATGCATAAGCTACCCAGAGATTTTTTTGGAAAGATTGTAATACGATGTAAAAGAGTTTATTATACATTGCATTTTCATGAATCCTATTAGCATTTTTTATTTTGCTTGTATATTTTTCTATTGTAATAACTTTCTGACTGTGTCTAGACGAAAAAACTACAACAATTACAACAGTGGTTACATCAACACTTACAAAAATGGCTAAGTCAACAATCACGACACCACCACAAAGAGGTCAGTATTATATAAGTGCTTTATGCTTTTGATTATGGGTGTGAGTGTGGGCGACATAGAATAATCAATATGTATAAATCAAACTTCTTCGATTTCTATGGGTGAGTGAATATAATACACCCATACATAGTTGATTCTAATACTGTTTGAGATGATATGTACATATTACTATATACAAGTGATAAAAACAATTTTTATTTGTAATAGAATCATGTCATATGAACTTTAAAACATACCAGACGTACTCAACTGGCTCTAACTCATTCCCATACTTTATATCGCTCACTGATGTCAACGGCGACAACAGACCGGATATAATTGTATCTAACCAAGATGCAAGCAATGTTGTTGTTTTCTTCAACTTTCAAGGTAGTTCTTTTCGTGAGCAAGTAACTTACCCAATTGGATCTGTATTGGCTCCACAATATCTATCAGTCGTTGACGTCAATGATGACGACAAACCAGATATTATTGTTGCAATTAATATGGGACATAGTGTTGGTGTTTTGCTCAATGATGGTTCTGGTCACTTTCACGCCGTAGAAATGTATAAAACTGGACAGAGAACATATCCACCAGCAGTTGCAGTAGTTGATGTTAATAGCGATAAAAAACCCGATATTATCGTGACAAACCAAAATACAGACACTATCGGTGTTTTCCTAAACATTGGTCATGGTGAATTCTCGTTTGAAAAAGATTACGAGGTTCCGTTCAGTTTCAGTGCGAAGTGTCCGCAAGTAGTGGATATCAATGACGATACTCATCCTGATATTATTGTTGCAAACACTCGTGGAGATAGTATTGGTATTTTCTATAATTCTGGCAATGGAACATTTATTTCTTGGACAACATTTTCAACTGGAAAAGATTCAGAACCAAACTCTGTGTCTGTGATTGATGTGAACGGTGATAATAAACCTGATCTTATTGTGGGTAACTTAAAGACGAGCAATGTTGGAGTTCTTCTCAATGCTGGCAATGGTAAATTTCTTAGTCAAACAATATATTCAACTGGACTCAACTCACGACCAGAATCAGTGTTTGTAGCTGATATAAATTGCGACAGCAAACCTGATATCATCGTTGCCAATTCCAATGAACAGAACATTGGTATATTTCTCAACTTTGGCAATGGTACATTTCAGCCTCAAATGATGTATCCAACAGGAGATCACACACAACCATGGTCAGTAGTAGTGGGTGACGTTAATGGCGACAGCAAACCGGACATCATTTTTTCAGATAAAACTAATCACGAGATTAGTATCTTACAAAACTATTGACACTCATTCGTGTTGTTCTAATATTTGCCTTGAATATCATTTGATGTTGTTGAGTATACACAAAAAGACGAAAGTGTTCTCACAATTTCTAATACTTTAAACAACTTGAGGGTGTGGGTGAGGGTATAAGTGTGAGTAAATAGTACTCTTCCGCATGTCCATCCTCAACTATAACAACGAGTATGTAATATCGAACAGTTATAACTGAATTTATTCAAGAAGAATATCATGACGCTATGAACTATAGTAATCTATCAAGTTCCAATTGATTTAATATTTATCTATACAGATATACACTGCTGTCATTATTGTACAAGCTTCTCTTTAAATGAAATCAATAACAATTATAATGAAAACCCGCTCTACTAGATACATCCATCAAAATTAGATTTATCAAGCAAAAAATAAATACGATTTGAACTAGATTTTCACCATTCAAATTTAAAAGAAGCACACTGATAATGTATATTCTATTATAGCTCTATACATCAATTATAGTATAATCTATTTTTGAGTGAAGTGCAAGAATGACATATAGTTTCCATGTGTAAATATCGAATTATTATCTCTGATATATTTCATTCTAAACTTCAATTCGTTTTCATGTTTTACTTGTATTTTTTTCGAAAGAGCATAGAATGAACAGCAATTTATAAGTTTTATTCACTGTAATTATAATTCTTCAACTGTAATGTTAAAAATAAGTGAATCAGGCACATTAGTAACTTCAAAATTACAACTTAACTTCATGACAGTTCTAGTTTTTTAATATATAGAAAACAGTGGTATTCATTCTATAATAACATATAAGTAGTAGCGAAGGTACTTTATTTTCTTATAAAAAGCTTGGAAAAATTTTCTTTTTCAATAAGGTGATATTTATTTAATTATTTTTGTTATCACCTTTTGTTTTGAATCGATCGTAACAGCAACCAAAGAGCAAATAATAGCCTCATGGTGATTTTGCTTGTATGAAAACAAAACAAATGAAAATGTTTTTTTTTCACAGTTAGAAGTCATACATAAACAAAAGTACTTGCACGTGGAGGAAAGAATTTCTTATTATTGTCTGTACAATGTATATTATTTATTACATATTTCTATTCATTATCTACTTGGAAATCTTCGTTCAATGTCAAGATACAACGGACAGTAGTATCACTATTAGCGCTGTTCAAAGTAACTGTTTTTCTTTGTATTTTATTGAGAATATATGGCATTTATGTTAAAGGTAGCTCTATGGATAGTAATTCTACTGTGGTGAACAACAGTTATATTGTAAGAGGTGGTCGACGTAAAGTTTTTATTATAGCTGGTGGTAGTCTTGGATTGATTTTTATGATTAGTATGGGGATATTTGTTTATCACCTATGTTTTAAAAAGCAACAACATGTTTCGACATTTCCTGTAGTCATATATGAAAAAACCAAGCAAGAAGAGGATGTTCAAGAAGCTAATCGATTTCAATCAGGTACTTGGTCAATAGAATATTATCATAATGAAGAATGGTATGGACCTTTTCAAATTACACTTTCATTTAATTCTCAATCAATGCAAGTAACAGGTTCAGGATCTGATAATGTTGGTATATTTGCATTGAATGGAGTTTATTCAGCTGTATTAGAACAAATAAATATAACCAAAAAGTATCAACTAGGTACTGGTGATCCTATAGAAAATAAAGGTCATGAAGTTAAAATGCAACTTAGATGGCATTCTATAAATCACCAATTTGAAGGTTCATCACTTATAAATTATTCTGATTATCAAGTCCAAGGTAAATGTCGACTTAAATTTCATGATGTCCATGAACAATATATCAGTTTTTAGGAGATTTTTGTATTTTAAGATCATTCAGTAGAATAAAATAAATTCTTTGCGTGCATTTATTCATAAAAACTCGAAAAAGGAAAATAATAAGAATGTAAAGATATGGAGTCCAAAAAAATATTTTAACTATGAACGAAAAATATATTGATTGTTGTCTTGTACGTGGAATTTTCATTAGTAAAGTAATTTTGTAGATACTTTTCCATTTTTTCTTTATCACGTTGCTCATTCGCATTCACATCGACCCAGATTTTAACTAGTTTTAAATTTGTTTTTGTACTTGATGATACCTATTTAAAAGAAATTAACAATGATATATAAACACACCTCTTACGTCAAAAAATCTCAAGAAATAGAGGACAACACTAAACTATCTATTATGATCTGTAGGAGTTCGATTGTATCTCATAAAACCTGTTTGCTATCTGTCGATTCTCTCGCTTTTCATAATGAAACTTCAAAGGCACAATAATATTTTGCCCATACTTTATGTTCCTGTCGGTAATTATCAGGAGTATCAAAATAAATGGAATTGATAATTAAAGTTTTTAATTTTGGCATACAAGGTAATACACGTTTAATCAATCTCTTAAATGATAATTTTGATGTTGTAAAAGTATCGTCATCATACGGAATATCTATTGAAAATAAATAAATATATATTTGGAAGAATTATATATGATTTTAATTACTTACAGCCGATAATAATCGTTTCTAAATTACTAAATGATTTTTCTCTAATTGATAATCCGTAAAACTCTAAATCGACATACTCTTCACATTCATTGTCACCAGTAGAATATGGTATAAAATTTAAATCCAAATGTTTTAATAATTTCATTTTTGACGAAATTAAATCACAACATAATCCTATACAAAGATTGATAATATAGTACAGATAATCTCGATTGTTACTTACGGTCAATATCCTGGAATGTGCCACCAATTTTATCGAATAAGCTTAATCGTTCTAAAGTATTACATAAATTTGTTTGTCCATCGAATATGATAGACAATAGAGTTGAAACAGTTACATTTGTTATTTTTAAGGATTTTATTCTAGAAAAATTTTCGTTGAATAAATTATCTTGGAAAATAGAATTAAATCTATAGTTATTGTTAATTCGAATTGATAGTGAATAGTTTTGATTTGTTGTTATTAATTGATTTAATTGAGAGCAAAATGGTAAAACTTTTTCATTTGGAATTAATTTCATATTAAGATAAATTTTTGTTCGATGTTGAATTAAGTTCTTGAAATGTTGATTTAAAGAAGAAAATGTTTCATATAAATAATAATAATCAAAATAATCAAAACATATTAATAACAACTCATTTGGTAGTTGCTCAAATTTTGTAATTATAGTTGTCTTCTGACGCTTTCTTTCCGACATTCTATAGTAAGCAGTGCAGTTAAAATTTTATCTAGATATATATGTGTGTGAGTGTGTAATTACTCAACGTTGTGAAAGAACATCGAGATAAGAACATTTATTCGGTTTCTTTCTAGAATGATTAGTCATTTTATACTTAATTCTGTTTAAATTAAAGCAAAACTTGAGGGTGTGAGAAGAAGAAGTACACAATACTTACACCCATACGCTATTTATATAGACGAAATAGTATTAAAATGTTTTAATTTCTTAGAATTTTCCTATTTTTCTATGTTACCTGACCAGTATATGTTATTTTAAAAATTTACTAAGATTTAATTTTTCTATTCAGTGAATATATTCATAACTGATACATGGAGGTCAATACGAACGATGAAACACAAGCTTCTATGAATAACACTATAGTTTTGTGCATGATTCTAATGCGAATAATATTTCAACAATACATAAGTAATAATCGAAATAAGATTATTGTGAAAATCAACTAATATATGAAACAAAAACATCATTCACGACTAAATTTCATATCGTACAAAAAACAAACAGTTGTATTCGTTGGATATCTTTTGATCATTTACAGCTACGAATTATAATGAATTTCGGCATATAAAATGAAATTCTATCCTTTATTTAAAGAAAACGAAATATTTATCAGGGAACATTCGAGAAATAGGTCACTATGTAACATCCTTCAAATATATCAATTACTAACTCGCATTAGTCAATGACTTCAATCTAATTATTGACGAGAGCAAACATATACTTTCCTTTGCTTAGGACAAAAAACATATTTATTACATGTTAGAATTTATGAACAGAAATGGGTTTTTATTAGATAAATTTTTTACACTATTTTTCGTAAGATATGAATTGAAATTAAATAAAATCATTGCTACAATAAACTCCATTGACCGCACCATCGTTTTCATAGCAAGTTTTATTGAAATTAAATTGTGAATAAAGTGACATTAATGAAGATTTAATGGCACCATCAACCCAAGTCGAACGATCGAGATTAAATGCTTCACCTACCAAACTAATTTCATGTTTTCTAAATCGTGTTATAGGTTGTAATGCCCACTTCATAATTTGTTTATTTGTGACATTCGTATTAGATTTTTGATGATGCCAAGCACCAGGCCATACTTTTGTAAATGTTTTTGTTGGTGATGGTATTTCAACATTAGGAAATAGTTCTCTCAATCCTCTCAATAATTCTTGAATTAAATCTGTATTTGTTGAACGATTAATTAATGTTAACCACGTATCAATACATAAACCATCATCATAAACTGTTCTTGTTAAATTTTGTTCTTTTTTTTGTGGATGTTGAGATAATATTTCTATACGACTTATACAATTTTGTCTTGTCCAGGCACGATCAATATTGGATTTAAGCATAGAAGCTTGTTCCCACCACCGCTGTGGCCAGTAATTATCTATAACAATTGTTCGGATTGGTAAAATCGATTGAAAATACTTATTTGACTTAATTTCATTAGCAATTGAACCTTCGATATCTATCCAACCAGTTGGAGGCATTGCTGCGATTAATTGTTTACTAAAAACTTTATAGTTTGATGTTTCAATTGAAAAAATATAATCATTCGTAGTATTCAAAGTTTCCTCAATTTGAATAACTTTTTCATTTAAAAAAAGTCGAACATTGTTTATTGTTGTTGCTTTATAAATCATTCGTTTTGCAATCTGCGACATACCATCATTGGTATAATAAATAGGTTTATTCAGATGTAACTCTTGTTTGATGGTTTCCATATAAGAATGAACATCTACATTCAGAAAACTTGATCGAGGTCTAGATGAATCTCTTAAATATTCCGTTGCTTCATCACCAAGAAGAGAACGACAAAATGCATTCATATCTGCAAAATTATATAAATTCGATGAATTCTTTTTATATTCTTCTAATAATTTCGTCCATATTTGATCTTGAAAATTCAATCCATTTGAATCATCAGTACAGTTTAATCCTACATATGACTTTGCACACATTTCATTGTATGAAGTATAGAATCTTCCACGTGCTTTAATGAGAAAATTTTGAAAATTATAACGATAATATGAAATATTTAATTCATCCATTAATTGTTTAACAACAGGTTGTTTTTCATAAAATCGCATAGCTCCCATAGGTGCAATTGGAGTAGTAGAATAAGCTTCGGATGCAGTTCCATTATAATCAATATCATAAGTCCGTCCTCCAACATGATTTTCACGTTCAAATATACATAAATTATTCTTATAAATTGGACCTAATCGATATGCACTATGAGATCCACCTACACCTGCACCCAAGATTATCACTTCACAATTTAATCTATTAAAAAAGAAAGAAATAGATAGTTTCTATACAATCTAATTATTCTCATTATCTCTTTTTCGCAGTCAACATATAAAAAATAAATATAGAAACCTGATTTTAGTGTCGGTGATTGTTGGTGATGCCATATTCACTACAATCAAACAAACAAATGTTAGTATATGCATAAATTGAATTTATACTTGGCAGTATTTTCGATAAGCAGGATGTTAATTGAACAGATATTATTTGATTATCTGTGAATGGTATCGTAAGATTAATCACTTTAAAAGTGGATCTAATATTGTTTTGAATTTTCTTTAGAACTTGTTGCCATCGATAAAGCGTGTTTTGTTTTCTGATAGACTTGACAGAAAATCGAACATTGAGTGAAACACCTGAAAATGTTGAACCATCTTCACATTGCATTATTTTACTGTTTCTAAAAATGCAGAATTATATATAAAAAAAATGAGTCATTTTTCACTAACCTTTTCCACCGATCACTGATCGTTGCTGTCGAGGTAAAATTATAAGAAATAATTGACAAATTATTTTGTTCTAATTGCAATATTTGCGCATACTGAGAATACATGAGAAATAATATATTAAACGGAAGTCAAAATTTTCATACCTGTAGATTTAATGCGTTTATATCTCGTATTGTTAGTGAAATTGAATTCCATAAATTTGTTTTATATGTAACTGACAATAGAGCAATTCCTATCATCTGGTCAGTGAGTAAAATAGTTTAATGAAAAAAAAAGAAATTACTTTGATTGAATGTAGGAGAGACTCTATTGTTTCTAAGGTGGACTGGAGTTAAGGAGACAACAACCAAAAATAAGATATAAAAAATAATCATGAAGACGACTTAAATATCAAATAATATGAAGAGACGAAATGGAAGATGAAGAAAATCGATGATTTTATTCAGAAAAAACACGAGTATATATATAGGAGGAGTGGATAAAGAGGGGAATTCATCAAGAAATATACGAAAGAAAAACGATTTATACGACAGAACAGAAAGAAATATATCAGAGAGAAAGATATAACTATGTGACAGATACGAACTGAACTATACATCTAAAAGAGATATAATGTTATCTTAGATCGTAATCATATTAGAAAATATTCTCATCAGAAACTTTTACACTTAAAGAGTATCACACTGAATTCCTATTCATATCTGTGAAGATTTCGGATAGAAGAAGTGTTAGTGATGATGATATCACAATCTATTATGGTTTTCTTTATCTAGAATCGCATCGTTTTCATACAAAGCATACGCTTATATGATTGTTCATCATAAAAAAAATGAAAAAATATGAAAAGAAGGAATAATATGGTTAAAGTATGATAGAGACAAAGTATTATACGATGTATGAAATAACTACAAAAATATAAAGACAAATATCGTTACGATATCTCAAAAATAAATTGCATAATGAGACTAAAACAATGAACTTCAATTCTTTTGAATCTAAATAATACTACTAGACACTTCAAATACTATATCTAGTGTTTTTCCCTATGATATGTCAACAATTGATGTGGCTCAAACTTTCTACAGACTGTACATGACTTGTTTTTCTTATTGATTTGATTCTATTATAAATTCACTCGTTCGGTATTCGAATTCCCACATAAATCACATGTAAAATATCATGGTATGAGAAATAAATAATTTAGAAAAAAACTCTCTAAGTACATACATTGATGATTACTGTGATACTAAAGTATTCAAAAAACTAACTTTTTATAAAAATACACTTCGTTCATAAATGATGAGGAACAGAGGATGTGACAAATATATGTCTAATCTTTAATAGTTTATATGAAGATAAGATGAATCGAAAAACAAAGTATGACAATTATCAATAAATATTCTCCAATAACTTGATTGTATGTATCTGTAGATTCAATATAAAAGCAAATCAGCCGTCGAAATGTATTCAAAATAATTTTAATCTATTTTATTATAATTTTTTTCTTTTTAATAATATGCCGCCAACTAAGAATCGATATTTTATCTTAGTTTAATGTTGAAAATAAACTATTAAATATTTTCTACATAATTTACTTTTTTTTTGCAAAATATTTAATATCACATTTGAATTTTTATTCGTTATTGAATAAGTTTAATGTATATATATATACATGTAAAGAAAAGAAAAAGAAAGTCGAACGATCAAACCATTAGATCATAAGGTTGATAAAAGGAACAAAATTAAATTAAAATGAATATTATTTGAATTTTAGATTTTTTTTATCGTAATATAGTAATATAAGTAAGCAAATGGATTTATGATCAACAGTAAAAGGAAGAAAAAAAGAAAAAAAAAAGAGCGACCCTGGCAGGACTCGAACCTGCAATCTTCTGATTCGAAGTCAGACGCCATAGCCATTAGGCCACAGGGCCGGTGTTATATAAAGTAAGAAATTTCCATATGATCTGATTTAATCGATAAACTAAAATTTATTTCTAGTATACATCAAAATTATCATATATTTCAAGATAACAATATTTATATAAATAAATTTATGAATGTAATCATTTAAATTTTGCTTAGAATATATCTTTTTTTTATTTTCTAATGCAAAGAATAATTGATCGTCATTTAAATCTACAAGTAAAAATTAATTTTTTTATTTCTTGAGGATAGATGTCTTTGTTTTGAAGAAGTCAACAACATTAATACGAGTATTTGTTTTTGTCATGTCACAATAAATTTAAGTATTATAATAGATGTAAAAGCTATTTTTCTCAATTGGCTAAAAAAATATATCGTCCTTTTTTTTTCTCTTTTCAAACACAAAGAAACATTAGATACATATTAACGCCATCTCTATGGATACTTTTGCGTTCTTCTTCTTCTCATTCTTTATATCGTCCTCGTCGTCTCTTCTATTTATTTCTTTTTCAACACGCAAAGAAACGTAAAACATATCCACATCACACTCATAGACTTTTTCTCGTCATCGTTGTGGACTGTTTTTTTCTTTTCTATCCTATTGCAAAGGCATTACATTCAGCTACAATATATATCATTCGAACGTCTTTTTTGAAAACATGATGGGAAATGTTGTTACGCATATACGTATATATCTGAAGCAATGACAACATTCCTTCCTTTTATATAAGAGATTCTCTACATCAGTCAAAAACTCTTCTTCTTTTAACAATTTAAAGATTTTTTTCTCGGGTAAGCGTTAAGAGTGAATATCAATCCTTTAAAAAGTATAGAATACAATGCATGATCAAGTAATTATTTCATATAACTCTTAAAACGAGCTTATTATTCTTCTGTATGAATTATAATCAAATAAAATTTCTAAGTTAGTTTTTGTACCGTATGGAATTCGTATTCACAGGAGAATTTTATTTCTTTTCTGATGAAAATTTTTTATCTTTGTAGATTGATTGTTATCTATATCTTTGTTTTAATTCGTATTCAATACAAATAATAATAATAATAAAATGCGTGAAATAGTTCATCTTCAAGCTGGTCAATGTGGAAATCAAATTGGTTCTAAAGTAAATTAATAATTTCAATTACAAATGAATATTTTATAAATATATTTTTTAGTTTTGGGAAGTAATTTCTGATGAACATGGTATCGATCCAACAGGAACATATCATGGTGATTCAGATCTTCAACTTGAACGTATCAATGTTTATTATAATGAAGCAGCTGGTTAGTAGAAAATAATAGGCAATCATTTTTTTCTATTATTTCTCTTGTTTTAGGTGGTAAATATGTTCCACGTGCTATTCTTGTTGATCTTGAACCAGGTACAATGGATTCAGTACGAAGTGGACCATTCGGACAACTTTTTCGACCAGACAACTTTGTTTTTGGTCAATCAGGTGCTGGTAATAATTGGGCAAAAGGTCATTATACAGAAGGTGCTGAATTAGTTGATTCTGTTTTGGATGTCGTACGTAAAGAAGCTGAATCATGCGATTGTCTTCAAGGTTTTCAATTGACACATTCACTCGGTGGTGGTACTGGTTCAGGAATGGGAACATTATTAATTGCAAAAATTCGAGAAGAATATCCAGATCGTAAATTAATATTTAATTAATAAATATATATATTTTCTTTTCGTTTTTTTTAAGGTATCATGATGACATTTAGTGTTGTTCCATCACCAAAAGTATCAGATACAGTTGTTGAACCATACAATGCAACATTATCTGTTCATCAACTTGTTGAAAATACAGATGAAACGTATTGTATTGATAATGAAGCATTATATGACATTTGTTTTCGTACATTAAAATTAACAACACCAACATATGGTGATCTTAATCATCTTGTTTCATCAACAATGTCAGGTGTTACTACATGTCTTAGATTTCCAGGTTTGTTATTTCTTTTCCAAATAAATAAATAAATTTTAATAATTATAATTTTAGGTCAATTAAATGCTGATCTTAGAAAATTAGCTGTAAATATGGTTCCATTTCCACGTCTTCACTTTTTTATGCCAGGTTTTGCACCATTAACATCTCGTGGTTCACAACAATATCGTGCATTAACTGTCCCTGAATTAACTCAACAGATGTTTGATGCTAAGAATATGATGGCTGCATGTGATCCACGACATGGCCGATATTTAACCGTTGCTGCAATATTTCGCGGACGAATGTCAATGAAAGAAGTTGATGAACAAATGTTAAATGTACAAAATAAGAATTCAGCTTATTTTGTTGAATGGATTCCAAATAATATTAAAACAGCTGTTTGTGATATTCCACCACGTGGTCTTAAAATGTCCGCAACATTTATTGGTAATAGTACAGCAATTCAAGAATTATTTAAACGTATTGGTGAACAATTTACGGCTATGTTCCGACGAAAAGCTTTTCTTCATTGGTATACTGGCGAAGGAATGGACGAAATGGTAACCTAAAATTGAATTTTTCTTTCATAGATTACAAAATATAACGACGATATTTTAATTTTAGCGAGTTTTATCAATGAATATTTTTCAATCTATTCTAACCTTTCTTTTTTTACTCATATTTCAAAAATATTTAGAATAAGATCAATCGACACCGTCAATGAACGGAGAATTTTAACAAGTCTTCGTCCAATAAAAATAATATGGAATATCCCACTCGTCGATGTCGTCTATGAGCATTTTTTTGGCTCCATTTGCTACTAATAAATTAATATTTCTAATGTTCTCTCTTTTTCTCTCAGGAATTCACTGAAGCTGAATCAAATATGAATGACCTTGTAAGTGAGTATCAACAATATCAAGATGCTACAGCTGAAGGTGAGTGTTATTTATAATTCTTTTTTTTTTATATATATATATTTTTTTTGATTTTATTGTAGAAGAAGGCGAAGGTGGTGAACAAGAAGAAGAAGATCGTGCATAAATGATCATGGTAATCGATATTATCATCTTTTCGCATAATAATGCAATAAACATTCTCTCTCTCTTTTTTTTTTGAAATATTTGAGCATTTCTCTTTGTTGAGAGATACATGCATCTATAAACATTCTTTTCTTCATACAATTTCTTTACATACTATTCTTAATTCAAATAAATCTAATGAAAATATTTTCTTTTGAAATTTGCATTCTATTGTATCAACATGAAATGATTCAAAATATTTTTCTCGATGTATATATAGCACTGAATTAATCTCAAAGATTTATTAATATTTATCACGATACGTGCTTGTTATTATAGAAATGCTTCGTCACTATTCAAATATCTTTTCTTTAATGATGGCGTATGTGACTTGCACATTTTATTATCAAAAGCACTATACTGATAAATATTTTTAATTATAAATATAAATGAATGGAAATAATAAGAAGAAAGTTATAAATTATATATTATACTTCACTTTTGAGATTACACAATCTTTAAAATACGTGATAACTTATATTGCTAGAACTAAAAAAATTTCTTTATTCATGGTATTGTATAAAATGGAATAAGTATAAAGAAGAATAATGTATAATAAGTCGTTGATTATAATAAACCAATAAATACAGTGTAATATACAGAAAAGTTCAAAAAAACTTGCACAAAATTGAGTTTTTTGTATAACGATTTTCTTATAGTTAGAAAGTAATTAAAAGTTTAACTTTTCTAGGGATATATGTCCGTTAGTAACACTACATATTGACTATATAAAAGCGTGAATTCTTTTCTTTTTAATACATAAACATTTAATCATGACATAATCCACTGATTTAAAAAACTATCATATATAGACATTACATTATTGTAACAGAGGCATGGGATGCGCTCGTGCTATTCATCATGAAATAAAGATATTATTAAGGACTATCTATTACAATATAAATAAATTGAAACAAACAAATTCACTTAATCAGTGAAGAGGAAATGGTCGACTATGTGCGACATGGAAATAGAAAAAATCTATATTGCTTAATATATTTAATGTAACAGTTAAATAATCTTCAATGAAATCAAAGAAGAATTATCGACAATTAATGATTCATATTAAGCTCATACATTAAAAAATTATTGGTGTCTAAAAGAAGACAAAGATCGTAATCATACACACAATATTTCCAAACAATTGATCAAGAACAAAACATTAGAATTGTTGGAATGCTCATCTGATACTCGAAACGCTAATCCTATCGAGAACTTATGATCGATCGTAAAACGCTAAGTTGAAAGAAGAAAATCGAAAAACATTGATGAATTTGAGCTTTTTTCATGTGAAGAAGTTAAAAATGTTCATGTTAATTTTGTAATGAATTTTGTGATGTCGATGAAAAAAAGATGTTTGTCTCTTATTGAATCTAAAGGTGAACGAATAAAATATTGAAGTATAGTGCTAAATAGTACTCGGCATAGGCTATCAGCCAGTTATGTAAACTACTTGAGAGTGGCTTATATATGGGGATATATTTACATAACAAGATGTGCAAGTTTTTCTGAACTTGAGTGTACATCAACAGCATCAGTACAGAAACAGTTTAGAAAGGTGTAGGTGTATCATCTGTTAAAAGCATCCACACCCACCCCCGTCACTTCTTTTTAGTTATATTTATTATTGTTCAAGTACGAAACGAGAATGTTTTTAATTGGTGAAGAATATATTTTATAAAAGAAAACATTTGATAATCATAATTGATCATACTGAATTATTATCAAAATAAAAGATTTGGTAAGACAGTAAGCATAATAGTTCGTGCTTTTTCAATTGGTATATTAGCTGCAGCAGCGAACATTCTGGTTGTGAACGATTGACAATTCATTTTTCCACCTATTGCAATTAATAATCTATATTCTCGTTCTTCGTGCGATTTTGCAAAAATTCTTAATACTTCAGGATCAAAATCTGGTAATTCTTTCTGGAGAAGATACCATGAGTATTCCTTACAATCGTTTTCGTACAATGAACTTTTTTCATTTTTTGAACTTACACGAATTTTAATTTCATGTTTTTTATTCAATCCTAATTGATAAATTACTCCATTGATCTGAATACACCAATGAGTTCCATCAATACCAGGAGTAATATTAAGTCCAAGAGGTTGACCACCAATAGGTCGTCGACCAATCCAAACACCTGAATCAAGGTCATTCGTTACACTTGCGATACCATGTGCAAGATTCTTTGGTATTCTTAATGGATTTAAATCTGCTAAATCCATTGCAACAGAATGCTTTGCTTCATACACGTCACCTTTCGCTGCATAAACCACACTTCGTACAGCACCGTATGCTTGTCCAACGATTGGAATAGCTTTAATTATATTAAATGCTTTTCTTTCGGCCATATTTTACTAAGATCTAAAAGATTTAAATAATCATTTGTATCGTACTTGAAATTAGATATGATGTAACAAAATCTTTCGAAATTCATTCTAAAAGTAGTTTATTCCTTTCATTTATATGGCGTAAGTTTGTAGTTGTAATTTAAAATCATGTGAGACCTATTTTTTATATGAAGATGTAACTTATTAAATTTCAATTAGAAACCAACCATTGATCATCGGAAACTGTTTTGAATAAATTTTAGTATTTATATAATTCCAGTTAAATTGTTTTGATTGAAATTTTTATTTCTTTCTTAATCTCTTTCTGAAACTGCTTTTTTTCTACTCAATTCTTATGTAAAATACAGTTTACTTTCTAATTAACATTAACAATTTGGCTTTTGAATACCTTCAATAAAAACAAATGTAGACTGATGTATCTCTTTTTATAACTCACTTATTCTTCTTCCTAATATAACAGTAAAATATACATGATACTCTTTCTCACATTGTTATTATCTTTTGTTGTCTATCAACGTGATACCTTGACTCACTATCATACTTTGCAACTGCGCATAAATAATTTTATCATGTATGTTATATGAAAAAACAGAAAAAGCCATCATACAACAGAAAGATAGAACACAAAAATAATATGACTGATAAAAAGAGAAGAGAGAAAACGTTTTTCAAAAACCGACTTTGTACATAATATTATAATAACACTCGTTGTTTTGGTTGTGACTAGAGATGAAGAGAACATCTGAATCCTCGTATAATATCCCAAGCAGAGGGATATGAATATGCGTGAATGGATACAAGAACAATATCCACACTACCTGTTCACCCATCCCACATTCTTACGACAGATATTTTCATTTATTTAAAAGATACAATATTGTTACATAAAGCTGGAAAACGACATAAAATAAGTTTACACAATACGACAATAAATCATAATCTTCTGGTGATGAAAACGATTAAAATTTATTAATTCTTAATCAATTGGGATAACTTCGTTAACAGGTATTCTTTGTGGTTTACATCGATTAAGATGTATTTGAAATAATACATGCATAAATTATCAACGATATCGTTCAGATACACACATACAAACATAAAATGAAATCTAAAAGAATTTCTATGAAAATTTTTTTCATTTATTCTATTTCTACTTACACAAAAATATGTGTAGAATAAGATCAATGTTACAGTATATAGAAATTGAATTATATCTATAAAATATGGATCTTTTACATTAGTTGCAGCATATAAAATAGCATTTATTATAATATATGGTGTATTTGTAAATAAATTAATAGTAACCATCTTGAGGGTGTGATGGTATTCCTAATTTGCTGTGCCTGTCACTTTCTTCCACATCCATTTTTTCATCTTTCAAATGAAAACAACAAGAAATATCGATTCTGGTCTATATTTATTCACATCATCAATCATATCTGTATTTGCTATGATTATATAAATGATCAAATTTGGATTGCTATTTGCATCACAAATAGGTGTAATAAATCATCATTTAGTTTTACATTTGCAATGCGTATCTATTGACTTTCTTCTTCGATTTATTTTGAGCACCATCAACTGACTTAGTGCTTGTGCGGCTATCGAACGATTAATTCTTCTTCTTCTTATTATTATTCTCTAGCACATATCGATAATCCGATTCATCGTCATCTTGTCGATGATGAAGGAGTTGAACAACGCACATGGTGTATAGTTACATACTCATCATCTTTACAAATACTGGAATGGCAAGTGGATATTTTTCATTTTTCAGTCCCTTTTGTAATCAATTGTATTTCTGCAGCTCGTATTCGTATTACTGCTGAGTTAAATCAATCTTACAAGCAGTTTTTATATAAGCAATGACGGTAACGCAAACATCTCTTCATTTCATTGTTTATTCTCATTGTATTATCACTTCCTCGTCTAATTATTTCTCTTTTATTGTCAGGATGCATGAAATCGGCTCGAAATCCTTGGCTTTATCTGATTGTTTATTTTATTTCGTTTATTCCACCGATGTTGACTTTTGCCATATTTATTTTCCTATCAAAAATGTACATCAAAGAATTTAAAAAGTCTATCAGACGCTTCTGTTAAGCTTACATTGCTTAAAACATCGCCAAACTAATTGTTGCACGATTTCTTCATCTCGAATAACTTGCGAGGGTGACTGGGGTGTACGTGTGAATGACTAATTAATGATGCACCTACACTGAAGAATCAGAACGTGATCGAACCTTATAGTATATCCGTAGTCGTTTATATAGTTGAAGAAATATCGGGGCAAGCGCCAGAATATTCAACACTAGCTGAGCTCATTGAATAGTACTCGAATTCAGCTTTAATATAGAACGTCAACCCGATTTCGCATCGTTTGGTCCTAAGTCAAACTAGAATCCAAATTCGTTGCATGTATAATTTATGGTCACTCTCTTACGAAAGTAATAGCTGAAATACGAATCGCAATCTGAGCTCTAGACATTACTAGCTCTTTTATTCCCAATCGAATTTTGTGACAAGAACTATGAAAGTTTGGCTCTTTTTTGCAAGTTTCATAAGTAAAGAAAGGCACTATTGGTTACTGCGAAACACACAGAGAGGATGAATAGCTTTTTTAGTTTCTTTCTATAGTGTAATATTATTTCGGATGTCTATATGAAGATTTAATCTTATCTCTTACAAGCAGAGAAAAACGCTTTTCGAAATGAATAATATTATTATTCGCTGAAAAGAAAACAACGAGTTTTTACCAACTTAGACTATTCACTTTGTTAGCCACTCGTTCTACATTGATATCTTGAGGGTGGGTGTGAATGAAATATAGAGAAAAGACACACCCACACCCGCATCCGCTAGTACCAGTTCCTCTCCCGAGCTCATAATAGATAAGATAGATAAGAGTGTTGTTCTGTGAAAGTGGTGAGATGTTTGCTGTTATGTTGGTTTTTTCCAATTTGATAAAAACGAACGGAAGATAATGGGCTCTCCGCGAAACGCTCTTGCATCAAGACAGGCGCTTATAAAAGCTCGGGTGGGTTGCTATATTATACACAATTTGTAAGCATCTGAGCAGGAAGCGTATGAATTTCTTTATCCCGAATTATATTCAGGCTTCCAAAATGAGAGTTATTACAATTTATAATCCACATCATAGAAATTACGAGTGTTCACCAAGATGATTTCGGTGCCAGGATGAGAGTGGGATGTGAAAAAATACTGGCATTTTCACCCCTCATTTCTCAAGAGTTTTCACTCTAGAGAAGCCATCTAATATAGAGAGCCTTGCTAATACGGGAAAGCTTTCGAAATGGGAAAGGAAGTGTATTGGTACCATTACGATAATTACGGAATTTATCGAAACTAATCTGGTGTTTTCAAGATTATATGTGAAAGTTGGTTGGGTGCACTGAAAACCTCGATAATTTCGGTAGTGGTTTCTGAAATTTTATTTGTATGCATTACAGAGCATTTCAACCACTGTGGTAGTTCACAAAAAGTTTGGTGTATATCAGAAACTACCTTGAGTGATTTCGTAATTTCTACGTGATCTTTGAAGTCTCTCCTACGTAAATTTTCAATTTCCGAAATAGCTGCAGGAAGTCCTTAAAATTTTCGGTAGTTTCTATTTCTCCTGTTTTTTACTGTTAAACGTATCTCCTCTTGTTCAATCATAGGTACGATTCTGGTTATTCTTTTAGATAAAACTATATGAACTTCTTGCAGTACCAGAACTAGTAGAAAAATATGAAGAAACTAACGCCAATGATAATTTGTTTTATCGTTATCTATTGTGAGCAAAGCTCCTTATTTTGAAGATCAAACTAACAGTTTTCTGCTTTTAGTCATTGATGCCGCTAATGGATCACCAAAAGAAATTAGTTTCCGAATAGCAGCGAAACGCAGGCAAGTGTTCACTGAGACATCTATTTCTACACTATCAACAACCAACACTACCGTATACGAACTAAAAAATAACGCTACAAACGATTCGAATCGAACAGATAATTCGGAAGCCGATACATCTGCCAACAGATTCGTGGATAACATCGAACCAGCTAGAAATATTACAATGCAAAAACTCGAGTCAAAAGCTCTAAATACTTCTGGATCATTAGAATCTGACAGAGAATATCGTAGCGGTAATGGATACACTACTGGAGGATCTATTGGAGGTGTTGTTAGCTTTATTATTGTTTTCTGCCTCATATATGTATACTGTCGAAAATGCTGCAAGCCCAAGAAAAAACCAGTTGACGTTTATTATTATAGTCATACGAAATACTGATACTAAGATGGCGACGGCTGTATCCAACGTAGAAAAAATGAAATTATTTTTGCACTTTAATGCTATGCCACCATGGTTATATTATCTCTTATTACAAATGTTTCCATATGACCTTGAAATTCTGATTTAATTTTTTAATCAAAAAATAATAAATATTTCGGCGAGGCGCTTAGTGACGCCCAACCGTTTTTCTCGAAATTATTTTTGTTAAAAACACATTTTTCTAGTATTGATTGACTTCACAAAATACAGAGGGGAAGGAATACAAAAAAATGAAAAATGAGAAAAAAAAAATACTCTAATGCTGTGGCGAAGCATTGGATAACAGTGGCGGGAAAGATCATCGTGTTCGCATTTACACTAACAAAAAAATGCTCCTGTTCTGTTTTTTGGAGGAGTCACTTTTTTAATTCATTGTTTTATTTCTGGAAAGTACTTCTTTTGTCTGACTCTGAGATATAGAGATAATTTTGATCGTGCAGCCTTTCGCAAACTCAACAAATAAGATTTCTACATTTTCAATAGAGAGCTCACAATATTACTATTTTCAATAATACAAAAGCTATTCGAAACTCAACTAGATTCTAGACTCACCTGTCATATATATATATATATATATATACTATTCTTGAATCTATTAAGAGAAGGAAAAAAAGTAATGTGACACATGTCTACTTGATTCTATTGTATTTATTAAGAAAACAAATAAGTTTGAAGATGGTTTATTTCATATTTAAATCAAGAAGTGAGTTTCGAAATAGTCGAAAAAATATTTTAATATTTTTCTTTCGATTATTGAGTATAATTGCATTTATTCTAACTTGGAGTTATTTTATTTTTCTATGTCTATTACATTTCAAAACAAATAATAATTCTTCACAAAACCTTTCAAAACAACAACAAGAACAGCCATGTCGAATACAATCTCCAGAATCTATAAAAATTGATTATAATAATATTTATTGGCAACGTTTTCAATCATCAAATGGAACATTTTTCTTTTATAATGCGTTTTATGATGATCGAATACTTAATGGCGAATTATCAACAATAAGAATACTTTCTATGATTGATCGAATATCACCTATTAAAATCTATTGTCGAATTTGGTTTTCAAATAGTTCAAATTCAATAATAACATTAGCTGATTATCATTATATTTGGAGTCGACAATGGGGAAATTATGAAGATAAAATTCTTCAACCATTTTTAATAAATTGTCCATTTCCTAGACAAAAACATCTTCAACCCTATTTCGTTTCATTATTTGAAAAGAATTGTACAGCAATAACAAATAATCTTCAAATTATAAATAATCGTCCATTGGATAAAAACAAACAATCATTTGCTGTTTGTGTTAAAGGTTTAGAATTTCTTCATGATGATTTAAGTATTCGATTAATTGAATGGATTGAATTATTAAATATTTTAGGTGTTAAAAAAATTTTTTTTTATGAATTCGATATTCATCCAAATATGAGTAAAGTTCTTCAATATTATCAAAACGAAACAAAATTAGTTCATGTACAAAAATTATCTTTACCTGGTTCACAACCAAATTCACCATTAGAAAGAAAAAAATATTTACAACAAAAAATAATTCATCGACGTCAAAATGAAATTATTCCATATAATGATTGCTATTATAAAAATATGTATCTTTAGAATTATGTCGTTTTACTTGATATTGATGAAATTATCATACCTTTACAACATTTGAATTGGTTAGATATGATTCGTGATTTAGAAAAATATTTCGCGAATATTAATCAAAGTTATGATGCATTAAGTGCACGACATATTTATTTTTTAGATAATCTTGATGAAAATAATAATACTATTCAATCAAATCTATTAATTGTTCCTTCGTATTTACATATGTTAACACATATTTATCGTTCATTTAATTATACAAAAACTGGTTCATATATTAAATCATTTTTTCATACAGAACGGATTCTTGCCGTACATAATCATTATCCTCTTATTTGTTTTTCTAAATGTCAAACACGAGAAATTAATGTAACATTAGCACATTTACAACATTATAGAAAAGATTGTGTTTATTTACTTCAAAAATCATGTCAAAATGATCATCGACTTAACAGAATTCGAGATACAAATATATGGAGATTTAAAAACTCGTTAATTCA